TAGGTTTTTGTTTGAGTCAATAGATACAAGTACAATGCACACCCCATAAATCATTGATAGAGGGCAGAAAGTACAATGGAGTGGACATTCTGGAGGTAACATAACACTGAAAAGATGTAGTTTACCCACAAACAGTTGGTACAAAAGACTTATTGCAACATCAGAATGACATCTTGTGCTGCAGCTTTGAAGGCGGCATGTGTTATCTCCAGTGAACAGCCACACCTAATGAATTTGAAATCCACCATAAGTAAGCAAGTACATCCTTATTTTCTATACGGATGTTTGCTTAAATACCTGTGACTGATACTTAGAATGTTTATTACGCAGGACTGTTGACGTTAGACACAGTCAAGCATTTACCTTAAGTGTGCACACTGTCATTATAAGTAATGATGAGAAAAACGTTGGTTTTCCTGCTTGTTATTGACACATAAAAGTGGGTATTGACAGGTTTTCTAACAACCTATGGGGGTGGGGGGGGGGGGGGGCAAAGTATATTGCTTCATTATTAAAGCCACTGGAAACCCAAATGGACAATACCCATCTTTCTGTGTGAACAAAGGTTTGATGATCATAATAGTGTGCATCTATTCAAATTGGAAATATTATCATTTAAGATTCTGAAAGTCTTTCTGATTCATGAGAAACTTTCAGGCCAACCAAACCTAAAAAAAAATATATATACATGCTTGATATTCTTTTGTTGAGACCTAGCGTTAGCATTGTCTTAATGACCCCTGCCACTATTGATGACTGCAGGTGTTGAGTGTGAAGCATCACTGTCTGTTTTTGCAGTAGAGGCCAATAATGGTCTTTATTCACCAGTAGATGTTGAGGATCACCAAAAACAGTTTAGCTTTGTAATAACACCTCACTAGCTTAGGCATCATTAAGCATTGCATTCATAGCTTTGCAACAAATTGGGGCATATTAGCTAATGTTGCCTGCTTAACCCAATGAAAACATGCAGGAAACATGCAGTTCCTCTAGTGTCCACTTGAGGCTGGCTCCAAAGGCTAAGGAATCTCCATTAGAGTCCAGGTAAAAATGCCAGTTTTTCTAGCAGAAGTCAAAATGTTTACATCCTGGTAAAAAAAAGAAATTAAAAAGAAGATTTTGGTTTTAATAGCTAATGTCTCGAGTGGTAAAAAACTGCATGGGTCGAGGCTGGCACATTTGAGCTGTTTTCAATGAGGCTAAACTTGCCTCAATTCCACTCAGACTCAGACAAAATCTCTAGGGCTGCACTTTGCCGATGGTCACATGCACCATTGCTGTGGGTGGAGTCAGGGAATGTGCCACACCCCTTTCGATAAAGGGTCTTAATGGAAACTTTTTTTCAAGTTTTTCATATATCTAAGTGATTAAAATCAAAAAAATTTAGGCTGCTTAATGAGACCTAACTTATGTATCACATTTGCATTTTTGATATTTTACAGAAAAATCGTGAGGCTTAAAATAACTTTAGAGTAACGTTGGATTTAAGAGCTAATAATGTGAAGGTAAAAAGAGGATTTTTCCTTTGGGTGAACCGTAGCCTTATATGTTTTACCTGCTTTGCAACAAAGGATTATTTTCCTCTACACCTACAAAAACCACAACACCACGGGGAAAATAGTGTTCCTTTTGATACATGTGTTAACAACAGCTACTCAGGTTTGAAACAAATCCAAGAATCAAACTACGATGAAATGTCATATTAAAAGAATGTCTGTTGTCAAAAATGTTTGCCTCACAGGTTCTTTTAGTTCAAGATTGAGATGCCATACATTTCATCTGAGAATTAATATTCTGCTTGAATCACAGAGTGAGAAAGTAATCATGTGGACGCGTGTCATCATTTAGACGAGATGTCATCCCAGAATTAGAATTTCAATATGGCAGCACACATCTGTCATCCACAGATTAGACTTTCCACCTCTCTAGCTCCCGTGCAGCAGGTGAAGCATGGGAGAGGTGCATTATATAACTGAGAAAGATTTTAATCCAACAGTTTTTTCTTCCTGCCAGTTCTGTGATTTGGCAGCTGTTTATCAGAAAGAATATGATCAGTGATGTGTGGTGATAAAAATGTGAATGTTCAACATTTCACCAGTATAATAACTTTTCAGATTCAAATCACGCCCTGAAGATGAATTATTCAGCTTGAAAACAGGAGCACACACTCATCAGTATCTGTAATAGCATAGAACAAGTCCAAGATTGATTTTTCTCATCTCTTTAATAAGACTCTTGTCTTAACTTTTCCTGTAATTGTGCCTTCTATTCAAGCCTAAATTGCATGTTTCATGGGTATAACTGACTGGTTCCTTAAACCATAATTAGTCACTGACACAGACAATTGGAGTGATCGCCTTTTATCATCCACATTTGCACATTGAAGAATAAAGTATGGATTTTGTCAGTAAGTGTTTGTGTGCACTGATGCATGTTTGCATTTGGTTATATGATGTGGGCTGGGTCCACTTCAAGCCTATAAATAAAAATGAGCCCCATGCAGAGGTTGAGGATTAGATTTTCCTACGGTGGTCAACTGTGTATTGTAAAGAAGCTGCTTGTGAGTCCAACATTTATTCATAATTGTAAATAAGTTATGCAGAGGTCATACGGTACAAGAGTTATCCAGTCTTGGTAATAAATAATAGAACAGCAGCAATAACTCTGCACAACAATAGAGCTTAGTGGAAACTTTTTCAACATCACCTGCTTGGTAATTAGTATTTGGGCTGAGGCCATGAACGGAGGGTTATCACAAGGGATCAGAACACAAAAGAAGTCTGGACAGAGGGGCACATGACATGGTCAGAAGGTAAGCCAGTGAGGAATGTCATGGCATGGGGGGAAACATGACAGACCCAACTAAGTGTCCCCACTTGCTTTACAGTCATTAATATGCTTAAAAAATAAAGTACTGAAGCCCAAATCCAGGTAAAATGTCAGCCGTTTTTTGATATGAAGGAATAAGCACAATCATTTTTGAAAATAACTTAATTGTGTGCTGAAAAAGTAAAATAAGTTAAGATGTTTGATGTGTACAAAAAGTCAAAGTACATGAGCTTCATGTTGTTGTCATTGATTACTGTACAAAAACAAAACATATTCATTACGTCTTCTATTTATAATTGGTCCAATACTTTGGCTTGAAATGGAGCACATGCAAAAAATTGGCTTTAGTTTGTCTAGAGGGCTTATTAGCAGATGTAAGGCATGTTGTAAGGGATAAATAGTGAGGTGGTTTATGACACTACATTAAAAACTCTGTACAGACAAGCCTTCATGTAACCCCTAAACCCTTTATTGAGCCTACTCTGTGTGTGTGTGTGTGTGTGTGTGTGTGTGTGTGTGTGTGTGTGTGTGTTAACTTCGCCTTGTTCGACATTGTGATTTATTTATGTACATTTTTCTCACTGTATGATTTATTTGATTGCTTTTATTTGTGAAGCACTTTATAACTGAGTGTTTCAAAAGTGCTATATAGACTAAATAAAGTTTTACTTACTTAAAACTTTATTTTTTTATCAAAAAAAAGGATTTATTTACATATTTAAAATACATTTAAAATCATCATTGTTAGACCAGCAGTTCAACGCTGCTTGCTGCTTTCAATGCGACATATAGCCTGACTTCATATTTTTCTCTCGTCTTAAATAGTGCAAATTATAATGTCATTATAATGTCCTCCACTACAATACTTTTCTCATTATGATCCTGGTTATAGTATATATATATATATATATATATATATATATATATATATATATATATGAATTAGAAATACTTTATTAATCACAGGGGAATTTAGACATTACAGTCGCTCTTAAACTCAAAAGTAGTAGGAAACAGAAATATATAAAATATGATTTATAATATAAAATAGAATAAGCAATATGTATAGAATAGAATAGAATTACTTTATTGATCCCAAACTGGGAAATTGTGGCGTTACAGCAGCAGGTTGTCCAAACACACAATATGAGTAAAAAACACAATATTAGCAAATTTAAACACAATATAATATTAAATACAAAGTAAATAAGTACTAAAAATATCAAAACTAAGAATGTGAATATATACAACCAGGATTTAACTAACATTACTAGTCTTAAATGTGAACGATCAAATGTAAATGTGCAAAAACAGAGTTGTAAATGCACAGTATTGACATAAGTTAAGTGCATGAGTGTAGACATATTATCAGCAGAAACTATACAATATAATGGCGAGTGCAGGGATAATTTGTAAATTTAACATGTGCAGAACAGATTACAGTAAGTAGAGACAGATATTATCATGATGACAGTACCAAGTGTTACATATACACAGTTTATATTATGATGTATATATATTAGGGCTGGGCGATATGGACCAAAAGTCATATCTCGATATTGTTTAGCTGAATGTATTTTATTAACAGTGAAAACACATGGAAAATAAACTACCTGTTTGTGAATTTAAAAGGCAATATTATAAAATTAAAATATTCCTTAAATACAATAAAAGAGAGAGAGAGAGAGAGAGAGAGAGAGAGAGAGAAGAGAGGGGAGGAGCAGGGTTAAGAGGGACAGACAGTCAGTCATCATCAGTGAGATAAGAAAAAGATGACCTGGCACCTCTGTAATGTTATTTTAATGCAACATAAACTATATCAATATATAACGATATTGTCTAACCCTATATCTTGTTTGAAAATACATCAATATATCTTAAATACATCAATATATCTTAAAAACTCGATATACTTCCCAGCCCTTATATACATAATGCAGTATACATTGTTCAACGTGTAGCCCAAACACAGCTTTAGTCCTCTCCTTCACTGTAGCACGGTTAGGAGGCAGTGAGTTCCCGAACGCTGCTGTCAACGCTTTTATACCCTGCCTCTGGAAGGCCACGCCCCCCCCACGCTCCAACCAGTCACAGGGCAGAAGGTGATTAGCTCATCGCGGCTGTCAGTCACGCCTCTCTGTCCGCTGCTTCCTGTGTGTTAGCCGTTAGACTCTGATCTGTCTGCAGAGAGTCTCCGGTATGGGAAGCCACCTCACTCCTCAACTTTTTACCGGCGATTTTACCGCTTGTACTTTACATTTGACACGCTTCACACCAGCTGGACATGGATTCCTAGAACGGAATTAGCAGGAAGTGAGCCCCGACGAGTTACTTCGAGCGTTTTGAATTTTTTTTTTTGGGGGTAGTTGTTGAAGCAAGAAGGGGGGAAAATGCCAGTTGCAACTCTTCTACCTTTCACCGCGACCCCGAATAGGAAGTCAGCCAGCCCGACCTCGTTCAGGTTGACTGAGAAATTCATTTTGTTATTAGTGTTTAGCGCCTTTATAACCCTCTGTTTCGGGGCCATTTTCTTCTTACCGGACTCGTCAAAGCTGCTTCACGGAGTTTTCTTTCATTCCTCCGCGGTGGAGACCAACACCCGCACCGGGCAGCAGGACAGCGGGGACTCGGGTTCGGCTGGAAACGACGAGAAGGTCCTGGCCAAAATCAGGAAAGACCACGAAAAGGCTCTCGTCGAGGCGAAGGATACTCTACAGAAACGTCCCGACGAGATCAAGCAGGACATTTTGGAGGAGAAGAGGAAAGTTTCCAAGGAGATTATAGGTCAAGGTGGGAAGGATGGCAATAATTTACCTGTCGTTGAGTATCACCGCCCACCGGGGGCGACCGGGCACGAACCTGTGGACCCCGAGACCCGGGAGAGACGGGCGAAAGTCAAAGAGGTAAGACGCGCTTGTTCGTTCTACGCCAAACTCCGCCGAAAAAACTCACATTTTTGATTTCGACTTTGAATAGTGTGCTCGATAATCATTCTGGACCTTAACTTTACAACTCCCCACGATGTTTCACATCCAATTAACAATTCGGCCTACATAAAAAACACAAAGGAGCACTAACTGTATGGAAAATTCAACTTTTACAAAATGTTCGCGCTTTAACTCGAAAGTCAGCTCCAACGCAAAGGTGCCAACACATAGGTGTTCAACCTGTGAATTATTAGATCAAGCCTTAGCACAGTGAAAAGGTATCGTTGCGGAAAATTGGCAAAACGTCTCGTATTTGTAAGATGAAGATCTGTGGTGAGAGCTACTCTCATGTGACACATTGATTTGGCAGCTTTTCAAACGGAGTTTTGCGTGGCGATCTTCTTTCCACGTAATCGAACAGCAGTGAGTTTTTTTGGGGAGGAGGGGGGGACGAAAGAATGCATGCAGGATGCAGGATCATCCCCCTCTCTCCGGGCTGATTATACCTGTTTTACGAGCTTCAGTCAATACGGGACTGGGGCAAAACCAGTTGTGGTGGTCATTTACCCCTGTGGGAACACTGGGGATTAAAGATGGGGGGGAATAAAACCCACATTTAGCCCCTTACTGTTCTTAATATGACCTATATGAATGTGTGCAGCACGGTTCCTATACCTGAAAGGTATTTGGGAGAACCTGGGGTTTCACACTTCATTTGAAATATTTGCCCTGTCACATTAGGGGGTTTCTGATTTGACCTGCGGCAGGGTGGAAAATACCAACAGGTAGGTAGCATGTCAGCTATTGTTGCGTTATGTCACCGCACCGCGTGTGTGGCAAAACAAGTGTCTCAGAGGTGGTTTCAGGTGTCTGCTGAAGCTGTGTGCAGTGAGGCTGCTGCCTTATTGGAGGTGTTATCATCCCAGCCCTGTGTTCATATAGATGGCTTATACTGGAAAATCTTTAACCCACATTTAGATGGAGATGACAGAAATATCTGTAGTCTTCCTTGGAAAGAGAGTTTTCACAATTTGGTCAAGGTGACATGTTCCCATTTGCTTCAGGGTATAGATGGATAGGTACTTTATTGATCCCGTGGGAAATTCAAAGCATGCAGTAGCAGCTTACAAGACACACATGACATGATACATTCACCCCCCCCCCCACATAACCTGAACAAAGATTTAATGAAACCCCTACATATCTCATTGCAAAAAAGACCATTGAACAACACATATGGCTGATGTAAAGACATACAGAAGGACTGATATTGGCCTTTCATTGTGGGTATGTGCAGGTAATTGTGGCCTAGAGCTGGTATGAAAGGGTCAGGTATGGTCTTCTCTGGACAGCCTCTCCCTTAGGGCTATGGTCAATATGCACAAAATGTACTTTCACTATGATGGATTTGAGTGACTTACTCATTATTTATTAGGAAATATAATTTAGGACGAATATGTGTTCTGTTTAGAGCTATTCAGACTTAAAAAGAGATAATAATGTTCTAAAGATGGCCTTTGAAATCGTACTACTGTCCCATCAGTTGGCAGTTACACACAGTCAAACCTTGAGAAGACAAGCTTGAACTTTATGGGATCATGTGCCCAGCATAAAGCCCTACACTGTCAAGACTCATATCACATCATGATACTGTATTGAGAATGCTCATGTGCAATCGCTGCACTTAAACCGTAAAAGATCATTGCATGTGTTTAGTATTGAAGACGCAGCGGTTTGAACGTCGTTTCTGACCTTCAGATGCCATCACCTGATCTGCCGCTGAAAGGTTAAGAAACCCAGCTGTCACGCTGTCAAGCACAAGGACGTGGCATTAAACACATCGCGTCAAGGAGGGGCTGTACTGTTTACAAATTACAGTTTGCCGATATGTTGCATCCTCCTGTCAACTGGCTGTCATCACATAGGATGTATCGCAGACATCTGATATACAGTGCAGATAAAATACACAATTTTAGCTCAGCATGAGAGTTCAAGTTGAAATGCAGGATTTGTAACTGAGTGGTAGTAAAACTAAGCCATAACCCATTTAATCAGAGTGATAAAGATGTGAGCAGGAAAGTAAGAAGACGTCGTCTGAGTCCTTTATTTTTTTAGTTTAACAGTTTATTTATGACATACATTCTCTTCATTTACGTCACATTCTGGGATTTTAAAGTAGCCGACAGAGCCTCTTAAAAATCCCAAATGTCCTCCTTCCCTTCTTCCCCTCTATTTATGTTAGAAATTCAACTCTGAACTGTGTCACTTAAAAAACAATAACAAAGATTTTTCTGGGAGAAAAGTCAACATAACACCGGCCCCTTAAAAAAAGGAGACAAAACAGTTTTGAAGATTCTTTGGCTGTGTTAACTTAGCTCTGTCTGTGTTTATTAAGTGAGCAGATTGTCAGGCTGTGGGCTATTTTTCATAATGGAAAACATTAGGTTCATTTAAATGTGAAAAAAAAGTACCACTGGCATCAGACGGGAAAAAAAAAAGTGGCACAAAAATGTGCTCCAGCATCATCACACAAAGTAAGATTTAGGTCAATAAACGACTCCGACTTGTTTCTTTTTTTAACTCTGAATAGTAAACTTATAAACAGGTTCAATAGCGCTTTAAACTTTAAAATAAACACTTTTTTCTTCAGATTCACCTGCCGATTCCTTTAAAGGTGTCAATGTCAGAATCTGACAGCTGAGTTGGCAGAGGAGAATCAAAGCTGTGTTTTTTCTTTTTAAAACTAAATCAGTCGTATTTGTAAAAATAAACACTGGTCACTGGTAATGTTTGGAGTTTTTGGAAAACAAATAAATTGGTTCAGAGGCAGAATACTGTAGTCAGTTTCCGGGTAGTGCAAAAAAAAAAATAATTTTCCTTGACCCGAAATTTGAAATGTGACATCAACTGGTAATCCCTATACTGCCATTTCAGGATGCGATATTAACGCCCATGTGACATTTGGCCTTCAATATGAATATCATAGAGGCTTCACAGGGACGAGTTTGTGTCGGCGGGGGAAGAACCTTTGTGTGTGTGTGCGCATGTCTGAGTGGGTGTATATGGAGCGTCCCTTGTATTTGACACATCGTGCAAAGAAACAAGAACCAAAGCCAGTTTGATGGAAATACTCCTGTAATGTGACGTTCCAGTAAGACCTTTTGTGTTCTGAAAATTTCCTGATTTACCACATTCCACTCTTGCTATAGCTATTGTGTGCTATCTTTAGTGTCCAAAAAACAATGTCAGTATATACAGTATGTGAAATATTTGGTGCTTACGGTGAGGACTTCCATGTTCTCTGACACTGCCCTTTATCCAGACCTCCTTCCTGTGTGTTGGCTGTTCAGATTGTGAGGCTGCAGTTTGTCACAGAGAGGATAAACGAGACACGTCTTCATCTCTGTTTGCTCACAGTAAACTCACAGTGGTGCAGAAATGGTCCATGACGGTGCAATATTTCCTGACAGGAAAACAATTGCACAAGTCTGCCAACACCCTGTAGCCTAATGAAGCAACTAAGCAACACATTCAGAACATACGGGGGGGTTAGCACTTTTAAGTACAAGACAACACCAGTGTGCAGCCAGATATGTTTTTTATGGCCAATATAACACCAAAACAACACACAATACAGTGATTATTGTAAAGTATAGTAAAGATAAAATAGAGAAGATTATTTGAATTGGTTGTTTAATGTCTGATATTACATAGATTTGTCTGTTTTCTCCAAATAATTCATGGCTCAGGCTCAAAGCATATCTTGGTATAAATATCACCTTATTATTACTTTTAATGCAGTTCTGGAAACCACTCGTACTTCAAATCAATCCCCTTAATGAGTGTAAATGAAGACAGCATCCCGGAGTATTGATAGAATCAGCATATTTGTGTTTTGAGGATTTTCATACAGAAATGTCAAACAGCACGCACATCCGAAAAGTTGAGTACTGGGTGCTGGACAAAAAAAATCCAAAGACAGAGAAAGACTAAGTCCCCACACCAGAAGCTGCTCCCATTACATCTTAATGGGAATAATCACCACATGTAAGTTAAGTTTTGGGCCCTTGCCCTTCATCAGACATCTGATCTCTGTCTGTTGAGAATTTTCATTCATTGACACAGTCAACGCAATTGGACGTCAGAACAAATAGGGGGGTGGCACCTCCTTTAAACAAAGGCTCTCATTGGCTGTTATAGGGCTTCATGAAAGTTCATCGGAATAGCTGAGTATTTTGTTCTGTGGATCGTTATGGATGTAATGTGTTTGGATTAAATCGTGGGGATTCGTTTTGGGGGGAATATTCTGATTTTAAGGCCTAGTTTTAACTATCAAGCCACATTAGAGCCCTGTAAGACGTCATCATCAGCCTGCTTTGTCTTCTTTTCCATCTGATATAGCCATTCCTCTGTTTTTAATTGGGCAGATGCCATTTGAATAAATCAACAAAGCAACGAAGAGTGCAGTTCTGACAAACATGTTCACATCAATATTGATCAAACATTGTAGGAAATTATACGTGGTACGATTTAAACAGCAGAAATGTTAGCTGAGGTGAGTTTTCATTTGCCTGTATCCTTGATCCCAGTGTTGACTGGAGCGTCGGAGCTTCGGTTGTTAGTTCATATTTTTACTACATGAAATCTGCAGCTCTTCTCTGCTTTGATAGGAGATAATTAGACATGCTGATGTAGAACATTTTAGGCACTCGGTTGGCGTTTGTCTCCAGAGAACTCTAAGCATACTGTCCTAGATTACCTGCTTCCATCAGAGAGGAGCTTCAAAGTCAAAACTTCCAGACAAAAATAAACCACGATACACCTTGTTATTAATATTATTATCAATCAGTTCTAACATGTTGAACCTGCACAGAGGATAAGAGCTCACTCCAACTCCATTGCATTACTGCAATACTGCAACTTATTATATGCAATGTTTTAAAATCAGTCTTTATTTAACAAGCACAACGCCATTA